TCCACTGCAGGGGTCTCCTTCATAGACATCTGAGGGTCGGCACAACACCTGTCAGTGTCAGTGATAACTCAATGGCCCTTCCCTTTTCTCTCCCTCTGTTATGGGATGTCTTCTCTTCCCCACTTCATCTTCTGTACGTCTTTGTGCGTAAGATAGACAACTGATTCCAGTTGCCACACTCGGATGGAAATGAAAGGAGAGCAGGATGGTGGCTCAGGAGCACAGGCCCTCACGGAGTCCTCCTTGAAGAGATGGCATCTGAGCAGAGCCCTGAGGAAGTGTGGAGGGAGCCCCAGGGCTCCGTGGGAGGAGCAATAAGTCACCCGTGGGCGTGTGAGGACAGCAAGAGGGGAGGGTGGCCCCTGTGCAGCAAGTGGGGCAGTGGTAGGACACAAGGTCGTAAAGGTAGTGGGAGGGGAGGTCATACAGGTCCGTCTCGGCCCCCACAGGACTCTAGATTTTATTCTACACGTGACAATAGAGAACTGCCGCGAAGGGGCTGGGGAGTCCCGGGGTCTGACGTCTGATGCCATAACGTTTATGAACAGGAGGTGGTGTTCATTGACTCCTCCCTGTGTTCTAGGGGCTGCACTCAGATTCCCAGGGTTTCTCACATTCAGTTCCTGAGAGGCTGCAGGAGGTTGGTACAGCTTTAATGGGGTTCATTGAGCCTCAGGCTCCTGCCCACATGTCTGCCTTTCTCTTCTCCCAGCCCCCACCTCTGTCTCAGGTGAGCACGGAGCACTGCTGGCCTTTTGTTGGCAGTCTAGTAAATTCTTTTTGTTTTTATTCTCCACACAAAAAGAACAAGATAACTTGGGTTTTGAGAGATCAATAACTCATTCTCCCTAGACTTCAGGAGCCTCTATTAGGTTTTTGCTGCTCCCCATCAGGTAATCAATTCTTTCTTCCTGTGGGGGTTCCTTCATGTTAAAATGCAGCCCTACCCGGGTTGGCTCAGTGGATAGAGCATCGGCCCTGGGACTGAAGGGTCCTAGTTCAATTCTGGTCAAGGGCATTTAAAAAACATATTAAAATGCACAAAATATCCTTTCTTCCCAACTCACTGTTGAATTGGCTGTTTATTTATAATATCTGTGAACGGACTTCGTCCGCTTCATGCATGGAAAAAAAAAAATTGTGCACAATTACTAACATCACTTATTACCATGGTCTGGCTTTAATTATGATTTTATAGACATTTGAGTTTACAAGTATGTTCTAAGTTTCCTACCACTGCAGTCAATGGCTTGGTGAAGGAGTCTTTTTGTATTTTGGGCCCTTCGCTGTGTGGGATAGATGGAAAGATTTTGGATGGTCGTGTAAAGGGTTCATGTCCATGCGGGTGTGTTAGATATGGTCACATTCCTCTCCGTTGGTGTTGACTGACGCTTTCCTACCTGGTTTGGCTCAGTGGATAGAGCATCAGCCTGCGGACTGAAGGGTCCCAGGTTCGATTCCTGTCAAGGGCACATGCCTAGGTTGCGGGCTCGGTTCCCAGTAGGGGGAGTGCAGGAGGCAGCCGATCAATGATCCTCTCTCATCACTGATGTTTCTATCTCCCTCGCCCTTCCTCTCTGAGATCAATAAGAATATTTTTTAAAACAACTGCCGCACTAACGGAAAGGGGACACTTTGGAAGTCTCACCCACTACAGAGGTGAGTGCCGGTTGCAGGGCAGTTTCTGGCAGGGAGCTTAACGCCGCTTTCTTTTTGCACTGAGCTGTGTGTTTGTGTGTCCAGCATGTTTTTGTTTTTGTTTTTGTTTTAATATATTTTATTGATTTTTTACAGAGAGGAAGGGAGAGAGATAGAGAGCTAGAAACATTGATGAGAGAGAAACATCGATCAGCTGCCTCCTGCACACCTCCCACTGGAGATGTGCCCGCAACCAAGGTACATGTCCTTGACCAGAATCGAACCCGGGACCCTTCAGTCCGCAGGCCGACGCTCTATCCACTGAGCCAAACCGGTTACGGCCAGCATGTTTACTTGGCTTGTGGGGGGACGTTCTTGTCTTTCTCAGACACGTGTTACACAGGGAGTGGAGTGAGACCTCGGTGACACAACACGCGCAGGGTGTTTCCAGGGCACGGCAGTGGGGCTCAGGCCCAGGACCCAGCCAAAATCACCCAGGAAGTGGCTGGCTTGTCAGAGAAGTGGGGTGGGCCCAGGGGAGCCCCAGTTTCAAGAGGGACAGCGGGTCTTGTCTCATTTCCTAACCTGTGTGAGCAAGGCCCGAGACTGCTGTCCCAGGCTGAGCCCTGATAATGGGCCTCACCCTTAGCCCGGAGCCCGCTGTCGCCAGGGATAAACTTTGAGTGAAACTTTCCTTTGCTCCTTAGGAGTCTCTGGAGCACATCCGTGGAGAATGGTGTCCCAGAGGAAGCCGTGAAATTCCCCACCAACAAATCGTTATTTTGAGAGAAGAAATATTAACCTAGCGTGAACCGGTCGATTCATCACTTTCAGTGCAATTCTCCTGAATGCTTACAAAATCTTGCCATTTCTTGAAAGCTTCGTGAACAGAATTCAGCAATGCTGGTGGCCCTTGCCTTAAATTCTAGAAAGGTAGGTTCATTTTCCTAGCACAAAAGGGGAAGGAAATTGTTCTGCTGCAGGTAGATCATTTTTAAACAGCCTCTTCTCTCGGCCCCCGCACGGACAAGGACATGCCTCGGGACTGGAAGTACTTCCCCGGGAGTCATCAGTGCTGTGAGTACTAGTATTACTTTGCCACAGAGAAGGAAGCAACACTCTTTCGGGTAAAGTTTTCTCTGCTCCAGAAGGCATAGATACAGCTAGCTTTGATGCTTTGAAATAAAGTCCAATGAATGAATTCCAACCTCCTGTAGAGAAAGTCATAAGCATGACTTGGACTTGGGCCTTCCTAAAAGAAAGCGGTGTTAATTCACCGCGTCTTACCCAGAACGACCACTCCTGGGATGAGTTTCAGACTGGCTGTCTCTACCAGCATTCCAGTTTAGCATAGTCCCCCAGCAGTGGCTCTTGATACACTTCCCTTTGTAGAGTGTATAGATGTGTCATCTGGGTGCCCCTGCTCTAAGGTCGGACACTATACCTATCACACACACACACACACACACACACACACACACACACACACACACACACACACCATGTTAGCAAACTCCCTGACTCAAGATTCTTCCCCTCCAAACTCGTGAATCCCATCACATAGCTAACTCACAGGAGACCTGTTAGTTTAACAGCCGTGCCTGAACTCCCAGCTTCTGCTCAACTTAGATTCCCTGCCCTCGTTCTATTTTTCAAACACTGGGTCTTTGTCTGGAAGGCATTTGCCCTCCCTATCCCACCCCCTCCCCCCCTTCTATGGAACTCCTCCAGGACCCAGCCTAGGCACCTCCTTCTCTGGGAAAGCCTTCGTGAACACCTTCCCAGGCTGGTAAGGGGACCCTTTGAGGTCTTTGCAGAAACAATCCGTGCACTCCCTGGGCTGTTGTCTTTACGGTGTACACTCTCTCTCCGTATCTAAATGATAAGCTCCCTCATTGCCTAGCAGGACTTGGAACATAGTCAGCCCTCAGCCAATGCTGGTGGACTAAATAGGTCTCATTCTAAATGGCAAACTCTCTGGCCCTTAGACATTTTGACCATCAGAGACTGCCACGCTCCTCCGTATGGGGAATGAAGATAAGCCCATATCTACCCTATATAGAGTGACTGGGCTGGTGGCGAATGACCCTTTTGTACAAACTCAAATATGTCTGTCTCTTCTCGTTTCACGGAAAAGAACTGGATCTCATGACATTGTTTTAAAAAGAGAGATTCTTTCCTGATCTAGAAAAGAGTGGGAAGGGATGAAAGTATTTCTCTACCCTACGTTCTCAGAGAATGGGGTTAAGCAACATGTCGATGAACTGTGAGCCTCCTTTGAAAATGGTGCAGTTGGTTTCATAGTCATTGATCTTGCCTGTTGCAAAGAAGAACCAGAGGGGAGGTTACTCTCAATGAGAGAGGAGGTCGTTTTGCTATTTTCCAGTGAATTTTAATGGAACAGGAAGTTCTCAGCCTGCCCGTCTGCATATCTAAATAGGAAAAATGGCACAGATAGTCCCAAAGGAAGGTTTGGCTAAGAATGTTCTTTCCAGGATTCCCAGTTTGTTTTCCTTAGCATTTGAAACCTTTTCCACGTTTTTAGGTTAGTGCCTGCAGCTCTTTATCCGATATAAATGTGTTAGGTGCTTCTCTATAGCAGGTCCTGATTCAGGTGGTCTTGGAATTGTGAATTAAAGTTTAGTGTGCGTTTCCCTACTTGCTAAGCAATTTTATCCATTCAGTTTTGAATGTTTTTAGTCCACTTTAGCAAATGAGTCGAATTTGCATTGGGAATTGGAGTCTTTGGAAAAACACCTGTTCTCTTATCTGAACTGTGTCCCCTTGCTAATAGGTCACAGAAATGATTTTTAGTGATATACACGCATGGGTGTGTAAAGTCAACTTTCTTAAACATACCTGTGATGTACGTCAAGAATTTTCTTTCAGAATATAATATGACAGCGTGGATTAACTTCTTCTGAACCCACACCTGGGCTTATGTCATGTATGCCATAGTATACACTGTTTATTTTCAATAATCTTATGGATTATTGACAGATAAACCACCACATTACAGTGATCATGCTCATCGCTGTGTAGGGTGAAAAAGTACTTTTACACCCATAAAGGGTGCTTAGTACTTTCAGAATCCATTAAGAGCTGGTAAAGGAACAAGCCAAATCACAAGGAAGAAAGGAGTACTTTGTGTGCATGTGTTCTGAAGAACCTTAAATAGAATCAGAATTTTTCCCTTCTTCTCCTCCTCCCCTTCCTCCTCCTCCTCCTCACCTTCTCCCCCTCCTCCTCCTCCTCCTCCTTCTCATTCTCATTCTCATTCTGTTTGTTTAGTTTAGTTTAAACTGTATTTGAGTGTGAGGATCTGAGGTGCTATTTTTTTTTTTTTTGCCTATTTTTCTAGAATATCAAGGGACATGAGAAATGGCACAGCCATCACAGAGTTCATTCTCCTCGGCTTTCCTGGGATCCACGGGCTCCAAGTCCCTGTCTTCACCGTGATCTTTTTCATCTACATACTCACCCTGGCAGGCAATGGGCTCATTATTGTTCTTGTCTGGGCTGAGCCCAGACTGCAAACTCCAATGTACTTCTTCCTCTGCAACTTGTCCTTCCTAGAGATCTGGTACATGACCACGGTCATCCCTAAACTGCTGGAAACCCTTGTGGTGGCAAGAACAGCGATCTGCACCCCGTGCTGCCTGCTGCAGTCCTTCTTCCACTTCTTCCTGGGCACCACTGAGTTCTTCATCCTCACCAGCATGTCCTTTGACCGTTACCTGGCCATCTGCAAGCCCCTTCGCTACCCTGCCATCATGACCAGCAGCCTCTGCCTGCAACTGGCCCTCAGCTCCTGGGCGGTGGGCTTTGCCATTGTGTTTTGCCAGACGATGCTGCTCATCCAGTTGCCGTTCTGCGGCGACAATGTCATCAATCATTTCTACTGTGACGTGGGTCCCATCTTGAAAGCAGCCTGTGGAGACACAAGCACTTTGGAGCTTCTAGGTCTCTTGGCAACCGTCCTGGTGATCCCAGGGTCGCTGCTCTTCACTGTGATTTCTTATGCGTCCATTCTGTCTACCATCCTGAAGATTCCTTCCGCCCCTGGCCGCCGGAAGGCTTTCTCTACCTGTGCCTCTCACCTGACAGTGGTCTCTCTGTTTTATGGAGCCGTCGTGTTCATGTACCTGAGACCCACCGCACACTCCTCCTTTAAGATGAATAAGGTGGTGTCGGTGCTGAATACTATCCTCACGCCCCTTCTGAACCCGTTCATTTACACCATTAGAAACAAGGAGGTAAAAGAAGCCCTGAGGAAAGCAATGGCTTTTCCAAAGACTCGTCGTCATGCAGAGTAAAACAGGCGACACATCAACATCAACCTAATTCATGGACACAGACAACAGGGGGATGAGAGCATGAGTGGGGGGCGGGGGAGTTTGGGGGTTAATGGGGGGATGAGGACACATTTGTAATACCTTAACCAATAAAGAAATTAAAGATAAAAAAATAAACTTAATGCAGATACCAAATTAAATGCGAGAGAGGATTGTGGAGGAGGTGAGGGTGTGAAAGCGAACTATGATCGTTAGGGTTTCCTACAAGCATTCCTTACATATAAATGAATCAAAAATCCTCCTTAAAGAGGAGATGTGACCTAATTGTCTAACAAGGAAACCGCCGAGTGCCCTCAGGTGCATGAGACAGAACTGAGGACTTGCTCAATTATACTCCGAAAGCGGAAACCACTCAAGTCAAGGACAACCGTCAGTAACATACTTTTAAAATATAAGAAATCCTGCCCTAACTGGTTTGGCTCAGTGGATAGAGCGTCGGCCCACAGACGGAAGGGTCCCGGGTTCGATTCTGGTCAAGGGCATGTACCTTGGTTGCAGGCTCGATCCCCAGTAGGGGACGTGCAGAAGGCAGCTGATCGATGTTTCTCTCTCATTGATGTTTCTAACTCTCTATCCATCGCCCTTCCTCTCTGTAAAAATCAATTTTTAAAAAAACAAATCCTGTCTTGCTCTGTTTATAATCAATCCCTTTGCCTCATCTCCTTGTCAAAGGTATAAGGCATCCCACACCTCATTTTCTTAGTATTTATTTTCTTCATAATAGAAGTTCCCTAAAATCTCCTAATCGATTCAAAGGGTCTTTCAAAAATTCTTGAAACACATTAGGTGTGTTTTTTTTTTTAATATATTTTATTGAGTTTTTACAGAGAGGAAAGGAGAGAGATAGAGAGTTAGAAACATCGATGAGAGAGAAACATCAACCAGCTGCCTCCTGCACACTCCCCACTGGGGATGTGCCCGCAACCCAGGTACATGCCCTTGACTGGAATCTAACCTGAGACCTTTCAGTCCGCAGGCCGACGCTCTATCCACTGAGCCAAACCAGTTTCGACAACACATTAGGTTTTTATCTGATAATGTCTCAATAAGTGGATGTCCATCTTTTTTTTTAAAAAAAAAATAAAGAGGTTGGGTTTTTAAAAATATATATTTTTATTGATATCCAAGAGGGAGGGAGAGTGGAGAGAGAGAGAGAGAGAGAAACATCAATGATGAGAATCATTGCTTGGCTGCCTCCTGCACCCTCTCCCCCTACTGGGGATCGAGCCCACAACTTGGGCATGCACCCTTGACGGGAATCGAACCTGGGACCCTTCAGTCCACAGGCCAACGCTCTATCCATTGAGCCAAACCAGCTAGGGCTGGATGTCCATCCTGACATAAAACACATTTTTAATTAAACCTAATGCTGTTTATTCCCAGATAATACCCAAAGCTGAGGATATCATATGGAAATTTCCTATCGGATTATGCCAGTTGCTGTACTTCAACGTTGATAGGCCATGTGCCTAGGAAACCAATAAAAATCTCAGAGCCAACATAACTATGAAGGCATTCCTGCTGGAAAACTCAGCCCCAAGGTTACACTAAGTTCAGAGCTGGCGTGTATGACTCACATGTAAAGTCCCTCAAGGCAGGTGACAGATCTATTGGTATAACCTTGTTCTCAGACAAGACATCTCGCATGAAAGGTTCTTACACCATGATGACGCAGATGAGTCAGTTTGTAATCATTAGTATTCTATATGTCCCTCTTCCAACAGCAAAGAAATGTTATCATTAAAACCCCATTAAAACTATGATTTTTTTTAAAAAAAGGATTATTGTGCGGTTTTTTAGTACTGAGTTGAAAATTGAAAATTCAAAAGTGCAATGAGGTAAAAATGTTATCTCACTGTCATACCCAATTTATCTTAGGGAAGAGCTGTCTTAGAGCGGGGCATGGGAATCACTCATTTGAAGGCAAAGAAAGAGACACTAAGGACATGAATATCATCAAGAACCCTGTCATCAAAAGAATGGTTTTGATGAGGAGGAAATATTTCTCCTCTAGCCTCCTAGGTTCTTCTGCATGGTATAAGAATTAAATTGGCATGAGACAGGTTAGCAGGAGAAAACCAAGTTTAATTTCATACCTATGGGGAGTATTATTTTAAGCAAAATAAGCCAGTCAGAGAAAGACGTTATCATATTATCTCACTAACATGTAGAATCTAACGAACAAAATAAAATGCGGAACAAAATGGAACCGGAAGCAAGGATATATGGAAGAAACTGGGTGGTGCCCGACGGGAGGGGTTGGGGGTGACTGAATGAAGAAGGAATTAGCTAAAGAACATATATGCATACAACATGGACAGGGACAATCGTTTGGTGAAGGCCAAGGGAGAGGGTGGGTACGGGAGGAGGTGGGCAAAGGGGAGAAAAAGAGGGACAGCTGCAATAATGTCAATATTAAAATATTTTTAATTAAAAAAAAATGCAAGGGCCAGTCTTCAAACCCCAGCTGCTCTCTTCTATCGTGCTCGACAGACAATTCAAAGGGGGGAAAAAAGAAAAGAAAAACAATAAAGATATTGATCCCAATCAAAACAAAGAAATAAAGATCAAAAACAGAAAAACAAAAGGAAATCGGAGACGGGCGTCGGGCGAGCCCTTTTGGATGAGGATCCCCGGGCTGGGAGCATCCCGGGGCGCGGGGCACATCGAGAGGACCACACCTCCCAGGGCCTAGAACGGCTTCAGCGCCGCGAGGAGGCGGGGCGACGGCAGCTTCCGGTTCCGGTGCAAAGGCCCCACGTGTTCCGACCCTCCTGGCCCCGCGCGACTCGGATCCGGTGGCGGCCGCGCGGGCCGGGAGTGGGTGGGGGAGAAGCCGGCTGGGCAGGGGAGGAGCCCCGGGAGCTGTCGGAGCCGTGAGTGCTGGCGGGCTGGGCCGGACCGGGCCGAGCGGGGCAGCGCAGGGCGGGGACGAGGGAGAGGTCGCAGGCCCCGCCCCCGACCCTGGGAGCCGGTGCGGTCCTGGGGAGAGGGCGGCGGCAGTGTCGCGAGGGGCCGCGGGAGGCGTCGTGGCCCCGCGCGTCCTGGCGGCCGGAGCTGGAACCCGCGGCCCGCGGGGGGCGCTCCCGGCGTCCTTCTTGCAGCCCCCCGCCCCCGAGGCCTGCGGGAAAGCTGCTCCCAGGGCTTCCGCGCGGCCCCCGCCGGGCCGAGGGGGGAGTGGTCTGGGCCCGGGGGTTTCTCCCAGCGTTTTCTCGCCCCGCCTCGCCTCGCCGGTGGCTCAGGAATCCTCCCCCGCCTCCTCCCGGCCTGGACAGACCCCATCTCTTTCCACCACTCCCCCCACCCCCACCCCGGCACACACGCAGGGATACCCACGGGTGACCACAGTAGGCCCCGGGGCCGGGCTGGCTCGCGCTTCCCGGCTGTCTCCGTGGCTGGCCCCCGAGCTAACCCCACCGTCACCGGCAGCTGCCCCGCCCCGCTCCCGAGGGCCCGATCGGCACCTCTTACCGCCCCTCTTGCCCTGGGCAGGAGGGTGCGGGCCTCTGCTTTTTGTCTGCTTGAACTTAAAAGTTTGGAGCGTGCCGTGGTTATGCTGTGTTCTCGCGCAAAGGTGGCACTTTTCATTTTTCTGGGCGTCGGATGCTGTTGTCGCCTAGGCGCTCGGATAACCCGTCTGTCTGCCTTGGTTCCAGCTCTTTGCCCCAGCTCTTCCAGCACCGTGGTCCTGGGGAGCAGTGCCACCCCCCTCCCCACCCCTCCAGGGTCCCTCTTGGAGGCTAGGCGTAGAGGCTGGTGCTTTTTCTCCATCCGCACTCTGCAGGTGATACCCAGGGCAGCCCCCCTCAGAAGCCACAAGGAAAGCTATTGAAGATCCCCCCCTCCCCATGTCTCTGCCAAACCACCCCCACGCATGAGCCTGGATCCAGAAAGGTTGTGTGTGGGGGGGGGGGCTGGGAGGCTTGTTGCTGGGACGCGGGGGACAGCAGAGCAGTGAGGGTGTGTGGCCATGAGTCTCGAGTAACTTTCTGCTGTTACCAGGTAGCGGAAGGAGGGGCGGGTTTGGAAGACGGAAGGGAATTTTTCCTCCTAGGACCAAACACCTGGGACTCCTGACCTTCACCCCTGTCTCCTCCGGCTGTACCCCTTTTGCTCCCTTTGCATGTATATTATATCGCAGTAGACGTTTCAAGGGCGCAGCAAGGCTTTTACTAGGATGTGAGCGACTCATAGGCATCACGAACGACACAGGTAGTTTTCCCATTTAATGTGGCACCAGCGTAAGACAGAACGGTCCTAGACTCTTTCTACCTTTGCACCCCCTCCCCCTTTAAATTTGGCCTGCACTGGAAACGTTGGATCCTTTCTGCTGGAGCCTCGGGTGTACCTCCTTTGCCGCAGGCACTGGTTCCCAAATGCATGCGTCTGGAGTACTTGAAGGGCGTGTGAAACAGATGGCTGGGGCCAGCCCCCCAGTTGCTGGTAATAGGCCTGGGCTGGCCCTGATAATTCCAGGGTCTAACAAGTCCGCAGGTGCTGGTGCTGCTGGTCTAGGTTCCTGACGCTGAGAACCGCTGCCTTTGGCCAGACTTCTTCACATAAACCTGGCAGTGGTTTGGGGGTCAAAAGACCTGTGTGTAGAGTACTTCTGTGCCGGAAGCTAGTAATAAGAGCTTGTGTGGGTAATTGAACCACGTGGGTCTGAATTCTTTCATTTGTAGAATTAAGAAACTGCACTTTAAAAACAAGCAAGCTCTGAAGGCTACATTATCTTATACCAAATTGAAAATGAAATATTTAAAAGTTTTCCCCTTAATTTTCTTATTTCTCTTGATAGGCGCTTCTCTTTTGATCATATAGCTTATACTCATAAACTAGGTTTTTGCTGTGAATCTCCAGTATGTAAAGCCCCTGATATTTCTTAACTATATATATATTAAATTCTGTAAGGTCAGAACCTATGCTTTTTTTCATCTTTCTCTACCTAGCATCTTGTGGGGTGAGATATTTGGA